TATCTTCCACCCCCCTCCCCGGCATTAATTGTGACCACTCCCTAATTTAATATTTTCATTTTATATAGTTGGCAAAATAACTCTCAAAGATAAACTGGCCACAGTTGCGAGGTAAAGATACTTTCCATATTACCTCTCCTTGGAAGACTTGTGATGCTACTCTCCTGCTCACTACTAAGTTCTATTTCATCATTATCCAAAACATTTGTTTGTGTCTTCCTTAGCAATTTGGTGGCAGAATATGTGATAGCACTGTTTACGTTATATCCATAAGCAATTGCAGTCATGTTGGTTGTACCGCCACATGATTGCCTTTGCACTGAGAAGAAAAACTCGAATAGATCTTGACTTAGTCGCTTTGGAATCACATGATGGCTTCCTTGGAGGGATTGGATTTCAGGACTTCCAATGAATTTAACAAGTTCCTTAAAGCCGTTAATTGAAACCTGCAAATTCAAAGAAAACAGTTGGTCAAATAATATTCATTCCCAAGTTCATACATTCACTTTGTAAGTTCAAAAGGGTTTTGATATGAATTTTAAAATTTTATTAGATATGTATGTGAAGAGTTATCTAAAAATACTGGGTTGCTTAGTTAATTATGGCTTTCAAATCAACTATCAAATCCGAATATTTTGCATAGATCAAAAAGTTGTCATTATGCAAAAGGTCTATTGAATGGTTGATTTTGTTCATTTTCATATAATAAATAACCAATTAAATCACCTGCAAGTCAAACATTGTTTGCCAAGAAATAAAATGTGATGATATCTCAGTTTTAGTTTTAAATTTAGAAGCAAGTTCATCCTTCCAATTATTGAAAAACTGTATAACATTTTCCAAATCTAAAATTCTAGAATCGGTTATTGATGAAAGTGGTTTGTCATCATTGAAGACATTCCATAATTTCTCACAGTTTAAAATGAATTTCTGGGTTGACGTCGTTTCATCTGACTCAAATGTCTCTATATCTTTCCGCACTTTTGAGTTCAGGGTTTGGACAGCAAGCTTCACCTGCATCTTACTTAAGCTATCGAGGTGAACATGGGAACTTCTTAGGTCTGTTGAAAACAAATGCCTCTGTTTGTCTCTCAGATAAACAGAATAGATGTGATCCCACAAAATGTTTTTAGAATCTAGCAATAAGCATCGAGTATATCTTGGGAAATTTTCTTTGAAGCCACTCTTGTAAATGTTGTTGCGGAGTTTCTTAATCAAATGGGGTGGATTAGACATGAAGAACATAGGGAGTTTGGAGTATGGGTTTATTGTTTGGCTTGTCGTTTCACTACAACCATTCATTGTCATAAATGTTCTGTTCTCGGCAGCACCATCACAACATGTCAGAGTGACTTTAAAATCATAGCCATGTAGCAAACCAACTCCTTTCCAAAATAATCTGTTTAGGTTTTGAGCAGATATTCCTCTTGTTAGAAAATAGGAACATGGAAATTGAAAACCAGCAAACAAGCTCTTATAGAAAAATTGTAGCACATGTGTTGCAAGGCTGTCTCTTAGATTGGGTGACTTATCATCAATGTCCAAATCAGTAAAACCGATTAATTCCCGGGATGATTGGTTGAAGAGTAAGCCTTCTTTAATTTTGACTTCATCAAATAAAAGACAACCAAATTTTCCAGCTTCTGGAATTTTCTTATCTACAAAGCTGTTTCTCATGGCTTCTAACACAGATGTCTGCCAACCAGATTTTGATGAACAGAAGTTTTTGTAATCGGAAAGAGTTCTTCCACTAGGAAGTTTTAGGAAACCAGATTTTCGAAGCTCAGTGTACATGCTATGGGATTTACAATACATTCGTAGGCACCATTTCAATATCAAAGAATGCCACCTCATTTGTTTGGAAGGCATATTCAAAGCCTTTGCCTGATCGTTCAAAAGGGTAATGAAAAATGTATCAGACTCACTCCCTGTATGTTCAACAACATGGCTGTGGAGAAGCTTCTTTTTCCCAAAACGTTTGTCGCAGCCTAACCACTCACAAGTATATTGCCTGTTGATTGGTGCAACATCATCGACAGTTTTAATATGAACAGTTTTCAAATGTCCAAGAAGCAACTCTGGTGTTTCAAATTCAGTTTCCAAATCACAACCAACCCAATAACAAGTGTTGTTATCATGCTTTTTAACCACTTTATCCAATCCTTTATACAATTCTTGAAATAACTTCCTAAAATCTGAATCTGTATTACTTCCAACGGTACTCATTTCCTTTTGGTATTCTTCTAGCCTTTTTATTTTGGTCTGCCTCACATGAAGTTTTCCTGCCATTTCTCTAGTATAATTGAGTAGCTTATCTTTCGACATATAATCATATCGAGTATGCTTAGAATTCTGACCTATGTTCGTGCTTCTATATTTAAGTGTCCTCATGTAATGACCTGACTGTTGGCAAGATTTGCAACTTTCACCATCCTTAATAAATATGTCACAATTGGTGGATCTTAAACATCTTTTGCAACAATTTCCTGACAAAGATTCTACAAATGCTGCAGGCTCTCCACTAGCTCTCCTATAAACTGGGGTACTGTCATTCTCAGGTAACAAATCTTGGTAATTTTCAACAGAAGCACCAGGGCATAATCGCAATTTCTCGAGAGATTTCATGAGTGAGTAAAGCTGATGCTTGTCATAAACTGATGATGGAAGGAAATTGTCATCAAAATTCAAAACTTTGGGCTGTCCCATAAAAACAAAAGAAATAACTCCCATCTGATGACACGGTTACTTGATACTGTGCATTCACAGGACTACTACCCATATAATAGAGATTGACTTTTGATTCTTTGACATCAGGAATAACTTTCCACTTCGGAAACCTATTCATGCAATCAGCACTGCCCTTGTTTATCTTCCATGCAAGACTTTGTGAGAGCTTTCCCTCCTCCACACTGGATAGGCACGCCATTTCTAGATCTCTGCACAAGTCATCATAATAACTATTGTGGCTTGCATCAAAATTTAGGAGTAGGTTCAAAAGGAGTGATTGGTGTGCAGTGACAATCCTTTCAATATAAGTTGAATAGAAAACCCATCTCAGATATCCATTATACTTTCCAAGTCCCTTTCTAAGATTGTTAATGGATTGATAGAAATAGTTTTGTAAGCTGACACAATCAAAAGAATGGCATATACATTATAAACTGCTTTTGTAATGCCAATAAACTTTTCGGGAGTGTATCCCTTTGCAGAATTAATGCTGCCAGATGGTGAGGAAATTCTCAACAAACAGTATAGAAGAAGTTCTTCAGGTTGTAAAGTAATTTTACCAGAGTATTGTACTTGCGCTGTTTTAGTGTTTATAAAACAATTTGTATAATCAGCAACGGGTTGCTCCCTGTCGTTTCCCTGAGGTGTCGCCTTCCCTGCAGTAGTTTCCAATGATTCAGACACCTAGCTCGTTTGTACTGAGACACAGACGTGTCATCAACTTCTCTTTTGCCGCAAGAATTAGACATTTTGTTTACAAAACTGTTGTTTACATGCTCGAAAATCAATGGTGAGAAAAAAGATGAACTTGCTTACGACAGGAAAATGACGCGAAACTGAGAGATCATCTTTGCTCACGTTATTGTATGTTACCATGTTTACGCTTTAACCTTCGATAGAATACAGTTTGCACATCGAATCTGTGGCCGGATAATTCTTTCGTACATAGATAAGGAAACCATCTACTCAATTTATTATTTTTTTGGTGCGTATAGACAAACGATCATCTCGCCTTCCTGACAAAAAACTTACAAGACCTGGGCAATTTTTTATCAACGAAAGCGCTGGGCATATTTACAAGCAATTTGTATTTTATTAACTTGGCTAGTAAGGTAAAATTACTCAAGCCTCTAGTTCATTATGATATTTTCTTTAGAAAAAGTTATAAATTCTTTTATAGGACTATTGTTGACCAGAACACAACAAAATGAAAACAATTGTTACGTTTTGTTGTTGTCAAGCAGCGAAGAAATGGACTAAAACTAAGTCACGATTAAAGTACAAGTTCTAGTTATTTTATCTGAAATCCATCCACTTCAATTCTAATGAAAAGTATAATATGTCATTCTATTATTATTATATTCAACATACCTGAAATTTTTCGTCGTGGACAAGCAGTTACATGCAATATGTTCAAAGTGAAATCTTTCCTCCATTCAAGCCATTACACGATCCCGTTGTTATCCGAAAATTTAATATTTGAAAAGGCGGTTTTTAAATAATTGAAGTTACCAGACTTTCAATGAAATAGAATTACTTAACAACCCGTTAAAAGTTCTTCCAAAATGCCATATTTAAGAAAAAAAATAGAAAATATATAGCATTTGTAAAAACACACTCCATTCACATTTCTCTCGACAAGCACGCTCGTGCCAGGCCATTTCCGCATCACACATCGATCGGCGCGCAATGAGCGCATTGCACCGCCCTATATATAAGCGCCCTGATTTGCCTTTTTGGTACTTGCAAAGTTTCCATATGGCTTATAATATACTCCTGTAAAAAGCCAAAAACCCAACTATTTCCCTCAAAATCACAAACACAAACAAGCCTTTGAATATTTGAATTACTTGGAAAGTCTCCTTAGAACTCGAGGTAACAATCCGAAAAAAAGAATCATGACAGGTACCTTGCGCTGTTGTTCTGACCACCTTCTATACTTTGTGCTTTTATAACTGAGTATAAAGACTCGACAACCGACTCAGTAAAACCAAGTGAGTTCAATTATTATGTTGAGAATGGAGTAAATTCTTTACCTAACTTTATAATTAGTAATTAGGAACAATCAATCATTTAAACGTCATAGGTTAGGAATGCAGATATAATATGGGTGAATCAAGGGTTTTAGAGTGAGTGAGACGTGAGTGATCGGGAAGATAACTTAGGAAATAAAAGGAGAAAAAACCAAAACTTTGTGAGTGTGTTGGCATAACCTTACGCCTCAAACGGCGTTTCCAATACAAGTGGCACCTCCGACGGGATCTGTGAGAGAAATGGAAGAAGCAATAAAACAAATCGAGATAAAACAGAAGTTAGCTCAAGGCACATGTGAAACCTTAGAACGAGCGATCGAAAGGCGAAATATAACGAGCATCGAGCGTCATAAAAACACCATACGGAAAACCGCAGACGAGATTTACGAATTAAAGGTAAAAGTACAAGAGATACGGATAGGAAACGGAGACAAGGCGAGCGAGATTAAAACATGGACGGACAGCATAGAACTAGAACTCGAGAGATGGGATAGTGAGATAGCAAAAACATTAAAAATAACGAATAAATGGAAACAAGAAGAGGAAGAGGAAGCAAAACTGCACAAGCAAGAAATCAAAGGGAAAGTGCATCATGAGCAGTTCGAACAGCAACTGGAATTCGATAGGACTCAAATGGATCTAAAGCTCCAACATGAAATTAAGCTGGATAAAACGCGTAAAGAGTATGAGAAGGCAAGAAGTACGAGCGCAAAACTACCTAAGCTTGTAATCACACCATTTCAAGAGACACATTTGGACTGGCTACGCTTTTGGAACCAATTTGAATGGTGACGAAGCAGCGGTGACGAAGTTCTCCTACCTTAAAGAATTGGTCGGCCCAAAAGTGAAGTCATCCATAGACAGTCTGCCATTCTTTACGGAAGGTTACGAGCGGGCAAAGAATATCCTAAAGACGAAATACGGGGACGACAGCGAGATCGTGAATGCGTATGTACAGAACCTGATGAATCTACCGACCATACAGGGAACGAATCCTGGTAAGATACACACATTCTATGATAAGTTAGTGTTTAACGTGCAGTCTCTAGAGACATTGGGGAAGCTGAAAGAAGTAAATGGGTACGTTCGCATGACCTTAGATAAACTAGAGGGGATACGGGGAGATTTAGTTCGAACAGATGATGGCTGGCGGCAGTGGGATTTTGTCAAACTAGTAGATGCCCTTAGGAAATGGACGGAGAGAAACCCCACGAGAGTCGATGACAGGTCCCTTGATAAAAATAGTAATAAGTTCTCGAATGTTCTTCGAACGAAAACATTCCAAACGCGCCAACACGAAACAAAACAGAGACGGTGTGTTTATTGTAACGAGATTGACCATATGTCAACCAACTGTCCAAAATTAGTTACGTCTGCTGAGCGAAAGAAGTATCTAAGCGATAAGCGTTTGTGTTTCAACTGTACTGGGGCCGATCATCGTGCCTCCGATTGTCGAAGCCGATTTGCTTGTACCAAATGTAAGCGTAGACATCGTACCTCGATTTGTGACGCCCCGGGTGATACGAAGCCTCCTGCTGCGCCCTCTAATGACACGCTACTTAACACCGCAACTTGTGCGTCCAATATATCTGTCGTCTATCCTGTCGTAGTTGTTAATATAAATGGTGTTAAATGTCGCGCCTTAATCGACACGGGGGCGGGAAGTTCCTACGCCTCGTCTGCATTGCTCGACAAAATAAAAGCTAAACCCCAAAAACGAGAAATGCGACGTATAGAAATGATGTTTGGGACTTCAACCAATTTGGTTGGAATTTATGCTCTAAAAATAAGCGATGCAGAGGAGAAGTTCTATATCGAGACCGAAGTAACGCGAGTTGAGAGAAGCGACCTCTTGACCTTAGACAATCCGAAATACCAACAACTTATTTCAAACTACAACCACCTCCAAGGCGTAACAATGCAAGATCGGGACACAAAGGACCGCCTACCCGTGCATGTAATTCTAGGGACTGGGGACTACGCCAAAATTAAGACGTCGACGAAACCGAGATTGGGGTCACCCGGAGAGCCAATCGCTGAGTTGACTAAGTTTGGGTGGACCATTATGTCTCCGGGCGGTGAGAAGGTCGACCTGAACAACATGTTACTGACACAAGTGCACCGTGAAGATTACGAACAGCTATGTAGGTTAGACGTTTTGGGCCTACAAGACACTCCAACTGGTGATCAAGAGAACGTATACAGCGAGTTCAAAGAGCAGCTATCGAGAAGCGAGCATGGCTGGTACGAGACCAACCTCCCGTGGAAAGGCAACCACCCCCCGCTACCTAGCAACGAAAGCGGAAGTTTGAAACGCCTAAACAACCTCGTCAAAAGGCTGCAGAAGCAAGGCATTCTAGAGCGGTACGATGGGGTAATTCAGATGAATGAAGGGATCGTGGAAAAGGTCGAAGCAGAACCACAAGGACGGGAATTTTACATACCACACAAAGCAGTGATTAAAGAAACCTCAGAAACGACGAAGTTACGCATTGTGTACGAGAATTCACCATCCTTGAACGAGTGTTTAGAGACTGGCCCACCGTCGCAGAACCATTTATGGAAAGTGCTCGTCCGAGGACGTTTCCACCCCGTTGCGTTGACTGGTGACTTGAAACAAGCCTTCCTTCAGGTTCGTATTCGCGAAGGGGACCGAGATGCCATGCGCTTCCATTGGCTCAAAGATCTGACGACAAAAGAGGTCGTGACGTTGCGCTTTACGAGAGCCCTGTTTGGTTTGTCCCCGTCCCCATTCCTGCTCGGGGGAGTGATCCAACAACACCTACAAAAACACGAAGAAGAGCACCCAGAGATCGTGAAAGAAATTAGTAAGAGCATGTATGTCAACGACTTGGTCAGCGGAGGAGAAACAGTCGCGAAGGCGAAACAACTGAAAGAAATCAGTACTGAGATCTTTGAAGATGGGACGTTCCAGCTGCACAAGTGGCACTCGAATGTTCCTGAACTCGAGCAAACTCCCACAACCTCCTCTGTAGAAGATACGTTCGCCAAGCAACAACTGGGGGCGACGTCATCCCCATCAACAATACTCGGCCTTTCATGGGACAAAGATCAAGACGTCATACAAGTAGAGATACCTGCTGAGAAAGCTCAGCCAACCAAGAGAGGAATACTCGGAAAGATCGCCAAGATTTACGACCCCCTCGGAATAATCGCACCGGTTACACTGCAAGGAAAACTACTGTATCGGGATTGTTGTGATCGTAAAGTGGCCTGGGACGCGAGATTGCCAAGTGATCTGGAAGGGAGATGGTTGAAATGGGAGACGAGTCTTCCAAACCACGTGAACGCCCCAAGGAGCTTAGCTCAGTTTCAAGAAAAGATCGAAGATGTCAAGCTCCACGCGTTCGGGGATGCGAGTGGATACGGAGTCGCGGCGTCGGTATTCGCGGTGGTTAAACAACAGAGTGGGATCTCCCAAGGTCTCGTGGCCGCCAAGTCGCGTTTGGCAAAGAAGAACCTGACAATCCCTCGTTTAGAGTTGGTATCAGCTCACATGGCCACTAACTTGGTCCACAACATTCGAGAAGCGTTGGACGGGTTTCCAGTAAGCCAGGTCTTTGGTTGGTTGGACAGTACAGTGGCCCTGCACTGAATACGTGGAGGAGGAGAGTTCAAGCAGTTTGTTGGTAATAGAGTGCGAAAGATCCAGGAGAAATCATACATTCAGTGGCGACACGTATCTAGCGAAGAGAATCCTGCTGACCTGGGTAGCCGAGGAGGGAAAGTCAGCGAGAAAGAGCACCTCTGGTGGAAAGGGCCAAAGTGGCTACCTATCCAAGATACCTGGCCAAGCGATATCGTGACCAACCCAAACCCCGAAACGATAGCAGAAATAAAACCATTGAAAGTTTGTTCAAGATCGCAGTCCAAGAACCAGACGAGTTTGATCAGTGTTGAAAAAGTGGAATTTGTGGAGGACCCTGAGAATCTGTTCATGGATTTCGCGCTTCATTTGTAATATCAGCAGAGACAAAGAATCAGTAAGCGGTCCACTGTCCACCGAGGAAATCGAGGCGCGGAAGTTGTGGTGGATCGCGAGAGTGCAAGAAAGGAATAAGAATACGGCGGAATTTGTAAAAGATCGGGCAGAGCTAAACCTCCAACCATGCAGTAATGGTATCCTTGTCTGTCATGGTCGTATCCAAGGCGATCACCCAATCTATCTCCCAGACAAAGACCACTTCACCGAGAAGTTAGTGGAGCATTCCCATAAAGTGACCCTCCACGGGGGAGTGGGACTGACTATGGCCAAGGTTCGAGACGAGTACTGGATCCCACGACTACGAAGAATGGCTAGACGAGTGAGAAAGAACTGCTTTGGATGCAAACGGTTCCACGCAACACGACTACCAAACCCCCAACCGGGAAAGTTACCCAAAGACCGATCGTCAGGCGAGTTACCATTCCAAGTCGTAGGAGTCGATTACGCGGGTCCGATCAGATATCGTGCAGGAAACAAGCAAGAACGTAAAGCCTACATCCTAGTCTACGCCTGCTCCTTGACACACGCGCTATACCTCGAGGTGACGAAAACTCTGAGCACGGAAGAATTCCTTAATACCTTAAAAAGATTTATAGCGAGAAAGGGACGTTTGTTGCTGAGCGAAGTGGCTGAAATGAATTATGCAGGACGAGAAATTCAACGATGAGTTGGCGAAGATGGCAATCAAGTGGCAGTTCAACCTAAGTCGAGCACCTTGGTGGGGTGGGCAGTATGAAAGATTGATAGGTCTTATCAAACAAGCGCTGTATAAATCTATCGGTAACGGCCATCTTACTTGCACAGAGTTGGAAGAAGTGATCTTGAACATAGAGGTGGCTCTGAACAACCATCCCCTCAGTTATGTTGAAGATGATGCACAACTACCACTGCTGACACCTAACATCTTACAGTTTGGACGCCCGAACATCCTTCCAGAGCAAAGGAATCAACACATCGAGGATGATGATCTGCGGAAACAAGCAAGGTACATCAAACGGTGCAAAGACGTCATGTGGAAGAGATGGTCGTCCGAGTACCTCAAAAGTCTCCGAGAAAGACACAACATGAAAAACGGTGAGAAGGTGATACGGTTGAACATAGGAGATGTCGTCATTGTGAAAAGCGAAGAGAAAAATAGAAGGAAATGGAGATTGGGTATCGTGCAAAGCCTCATCACGGGTAAGGATGAAATCGTGCGAGGAGCAAGACTGTGAGTGGGACAAAGCAACATCGAACGAGCAGTTCAACACTTGTACCCGATGGAGCTTTCGTGTGACGCAGAACTAAAACCGGCAACTTCAAAACTTAGAGCTGATGTCCCAGAGTTCCGACCAAAACGAAACGCTGCAGCGATAGCAGAGTGTCGCATCAAGGACATTGGTGAAAACAAAGATGATTAGGACGTAAATTTAAACTAAAATCGTTACATAGGGATAATATTGGAACTGATTAATTAAGCTAGTTATTTCACGAAAAGTTATGTTATATTCGTCAAAACAGAATTACTGGGTAATCGAACGTTGATTTGAACATTATTATATGGAATATCGAGAACATGATTCGTTATATTCGATTCCTTTGAATCGAATAGGGGGAGGGTGTTGAGAATGGAGTAAATTCTTTACCTAATTTTATAATTAGTAATTAGGAACAATCGATCATTTAAACGTCATAGGTTAGGAATGCAGATATAATATGGGTGAATCAAGGGTTTTAGAGTGAGTGAGACGTGAGTGATCGGGAAGATAACTTAGGAAATAAAAGGAGAAAAAACTAAAACTTTGTGAGTGTGTTGGCATAACCTTACGCCTTAAATGGCGTTCCCAATAATTATACTTATAAAAAACTAAATGTCGCTGATGGTGCCACTAAGACACATAGTAACTTTTGTCAGCTCACCAACCTATGAATTATCTAAGAACTTCAGTGAAATCTTATCTCCATTGGTAGGAAATTCAGTATATCATATTTGTAACACACAGGACTGGGTAGATACGGCAAAAACGATTCGGATTGAGAAAGATGAAGAGCTACATTCACTGACAAAACCTTTCTGGACACTTACATATTTTGGTTCATTTTTTGGACAGCTCATTAAAAACAGTGGCTTCTCCCTCGTCCCCCTCTTCAATGTTGGCTAAAGGCAAATTTGTTTTTGTAGAAAGCCTTTGGAGCGACAGTAAGTAATATATTAAGCCATATTTTTTATATTCAACATTGAAAGGGGGCGGGGGGGGGGTACAAGGGGGGTTCATATTGAAAATTTCAGTGAAAGTCCGGATAGTTTTGTCACTGATTGTCTGTGCAACCCAAGTCGCAGTTGCGCTTGATTGAACAACAATAATAATCATCAAAACTTTTTTGCAAGTATTAAGTACTTTCCAAAATTGGTCGGAGATACGTGTCCCTATTCGATGAAACCTGGGACACTAATGGGAAAGAGCTTTTTGGTCATCAATTTGAACAAAGATTGAAACAAAGAGCTGAGACTGCACAAACCATCTCATCCGCTAGCTTCACTCCCAAGTCAAAGCAGTTTTTTCCAAGCAGCACCTCCTCCCCAAAGCCATGGCAGAGAGGAAGTGCAAACAACTATAATTACCAATACCCTCGAGGACTGGGCCAATCCTACCGCAGAAGCAGACCATACAGGGGCAGAGGACGGGGGTCATCAACCTTCACCCGCTCAATGCCACAAGGTCAATAAGAAACCTCCCTAAATACAGGTATGTTGCCGACTCAAAACACAATATTTCAAGCCAATATGCCCTTAGCAGGCAGAATAACTCATTTTTACAACAACTGGGTAAAAATTACACAAGACCCTTGTGACCCGAACTTTTGTTTCAAGCCACAATGTTCACAACTCCATGTCATTTTGAGTATATTTTTTATGAATAATTCATGATTTTAAAATAACAGTTTTCCTTCCCTCACTTCACAATGTCACATGACCTCCCATCCCGGGTGGGTTATCTATCCTTGTCTGGGAGGGTTGTTGCATTCCGCCACACGCTCCCCTAAAAATATGAACTTTTTTTTTTATTTTTACTACATATTACTGTTAATCAACTGCTCGATCAAATGTTTGAATGTCCCAGATCACCAATTAACAGCATGTTACTACTAGGAAATCCTGTCTCGCACTTTGTTGGATACCATCTCAAGGAAATAACCAAACTTTTCCTCGTCGGAAATAGGTTTCAAATGTATCTGAGTCAAAAACATTTTCTCAAACCTTACCCAATTGCTAGCCGTACCTTGAATGATGTTATAGTAAGTTTGGGCAATTTGGCATGGGATGTTCTAGCTGCCACTTGGGTCCGAGAAACAGTAAAAGGGCACAAGTTGGAGTTCATCACAACTCCCTATCAGACATATGTTTCAAAAATGCATGTCACTCTCAAGGAGGCAGCATTAATCGACCTTGAGGTTCAAGCTCTGCACCACGAAAAAGCTAACCTCTTCTAGAAAGTGGCAATTATTGTATTGCACCCTAAAAATCTCTTCAATAAAAACTTTCTTTCTTTGATCAATGTTTTGTAGTAGAACACTGTCAATAACAAATTAATTACCGTTATTTGGAAATACCAGGTCCATGACTCTAAATAAATTTGGTTAGGTTGTTCAATGATAGCACAGGGGTGACAGATAATAGTATTCTGTACACATGTCTTTTCTTGCATTAATCTATAACTCCTTTTCCACGTAAAACAATGTTTCTTCACTTTCCTGGAAGAATCTTCTTTGAAAGATGAGTGCACATCATACTATACTTGTATTGCGCATTCATAGTGTTTTCGTTATTGACTGTCATCAATTGTTTGAACAGGTTAAATTCCAATGTTTTTGGCAAACAGTGCCAACTAACGCAGTTGTTTTGCTAATCCACTTGCTCTTTTATATTTTTATCCAGAAGTAGGTATCTACAAGACAAAAGAAATAATTTTAGAATACACTACACTAGCCTTAGCCCAACGAAATGTCGTAAAGCGGGAGTGAAGTATAGAAACAAAATTAAAAAACTTACCGTATATCGTCTTGATGATATTTTCACACATATAGTGACATAATTATAAATTGATTAAATGACATGCAAAGTTACAGAATATGGTTAACACACAGAATAAAGCGTAATGGGATCCATAACAGAATCCCATGTCTGATTTCAAACTTTATGGTTTGTCAATTTAAAATGCACCGTTATTGGTAGTCTGTGCTAAATGATCTAGGTGGTTTTCTTCCTTAAGCCTAAATTGTAAATTAGCTGACGATTTCAAGCTTGTTAATCGTCATATGTCAAGGGTTCAATGACGCAAGATGAAAGCGATCTCACTCTGCTAATGGCAACGTATGAAACTCCAGCAGTTCTTTCTGATTTGGCAATATCTATCCAAGCTTTTTGAAGAGTAAGTCCTTGGCTTTTGTATATTGTTAGAGCCCAGGCGAGTCTTAGAGGCAGCTGTTGCCGCTCATGAAAACTTGTTTCTGACTGTGATGAGGCTGTGATTGGACACACTGGAACAAGATGGTTTGTTCTCATTAAAAACAGGACCTCTGTAGTTCTCAAACTCAATAATAACTGCAATAGGCAAGTCAGGTGGTTGGTGGTTCTTCTGATAGACAATATAACAACTGTTCCAGTAGCTTCATTACAGAGGCCAACACTTGACCACAAATTCATGGTTAACATAACCCTAGCACTTTTGCTAGAAATACAACAGGTTCCAACCCAGACATATCATCTGAGGACATCTTTTTGGCCAATGAAAGGAATGGCGAGCATTAATATGAGCAATTGGATGCTCAAGTTTTGTTAGTTGTTCATTATTGTAATTTGCAACTTGTTCATTGCTATAGAAGAGTCTAGTAGTGTCTTCAAAGTCGCATATGTTAGTGACATTCGATGGTTAACAAGTTAGAAGTAATTTCCAGTCGTCGACTGTTGACTCACTTTTGCGAAGTTGTAACAATAAATCTCTGAATTGTATTGTTCAGATGTCATACCTTGCACACGTTGATTAACAGTGAGCTTAACAACTTTGTCAACATAGAGTATGCTTGATAACCTTGTTCGCCAACAGAATTTGATGGTTTAGCATGATAAAGAGGCTTGTCTGCCACTGGTGGCAATTGACCTGGATCTCCAGTTAAAATCAATGATTTTCCACCAAATACTTTGTCATTATAACCAGTTGCTTGTTTGCAACTCTTATCTATCCAACCAAAAGTAACTTGGCCAAGCATTGAGTATTCATCAATAATGATATATCCATATTATTAACACTTTCTTGTAATCTACACAGGGTTTGTCCTGTTAGATCTTTATTACCTCTTGACCCTATAGGCAACTTTAACAGAGAGTGCACAGTTACACCTTTAAGTTATGGTTCTTGACTTTGGATAACAGCTTGTAATTTGTCAAACCAGTCTGGAACATTAGATTGTCCATAGGGTGTTTGCAAGAACTCATGCAAGAATTGATTAGAACCTCACTTGGTTCTTGGTCACCCCACGCATTGTTTTGGGTTGTTCTCCAGGGTTTATATCTCAAAAGTTGATACTTACAATATAGTCCAAATTTAGGACCTTTGGGATTAGGAGAATAAGTTGGGAATATTCTAGGTATAACATTGTCTGGTAATCTTGTCAGTTTATTGTTAACAACTTTATAAGTTACAGCAAATTGAAGAAAATTCATATTCATAATATTTTGTGAACTGTATTGCTCACGATTAGCGTACACATCAAGAAGTGAATAATCATTGCATGAATCATGTTCTTCAATACTTGCAGTGTCACATACTCTATGTGAACTATTTAAACTAACTGATATCACTTTAAAGACAACAAATGATGCATTGTTTCCCGAGCAGCATAATTCGTTCACCAAGAATCTCATAACTACCTTCTTAATAGCTCTGCGAGGGTCAGTATTACTGTCAACATTTGCATGATAGAGTTAAATGCTTGTTTTAATAAAGGTGACCTTGGTTCACCTTTGGCTGCATATTTTGTGAGATATTCAACACAAGCATAGTGATCAATAACAACCTGAATATCACAGTTAGCTCTCCATCCCTGGAGTTGAAGTTGTTGGTGGTTATTTAACCTAGCATCATTTCGTTTAGTCACTTTCTTAGCTCTATAGTGTTCATTATCACCTGAAGTGTGGATTTTTTCAAATTCTAATTTTGTCTGTGGACAATTATCAAATGGGAAATGAAATCTACATTTCAATTCAGTCTCATTTGACTTTTTTCTTAGACCATAGCTAGTACTACAACAAATGTGTCGTTGAACCATATTTAACAGATCCACATAATCTTACATGTTTCTCTTGTTCAGGAATGTCAATGTGACTTCTTTGACATGGATGAGTTTCAGGTCTTACCCAGAT